TGAAATGTATCAGTTTGAAAACTGATAAAGGAAAACTCTTTTATAAAACACACTATTGGCTTCTGGTGCTCACTGCAACAAAGTATTGAAGCCAAGAGCACTAAAAACAAAAAGAAAAGAAAAGAGAAAAAGAACTATTTTTTTGTAGGGATAAAAATATCTACAGCACTGGGGAGATACAAATGCTTGGTTATGACAATGTAAGCCATCCCTGCTGGATATGGCTGGAAAGTTGGTTTTAGGTACTTATTCCATACCTACACTTCTTGCCTCTCAAAGAGTGTGACAGACTACTAGTGTCTGCAATAGTATCTTAGACATGATGAAACGCTCATTTTGTGGCACAAGAGCACTCACTTTCAGTCTCAAACAATATTAGGCATGTTATCTTTACTGTTGCCAAATTAGGGCCTCCTATGGGTTAGTTCACTAAAGTTCACACCACTAACTTTCAGCCTCTTCAAAATTAGCACTTGTAGGAGATTCTGGTTTCATTCCTCACAATTTTCAGGGTCAGGCACGTCATTTTATGAAGCTTCTCTAAAAATACCATCCACAGATACCTAAACAGACATACTTTTAACAACCTAAACATAAAAACAATCTAAAGGCCTATAGATTTTTTTTGTGCTTTGATGAAATTCTGTAGGATGAGAGAAATTTCCTACAATCTAAAAATGTTAATCTGCCCCACATTTCACACTCCTCTAGGGAAAAGTCTGAATTGAGCTTATATACTTCACATTCACATGTTTCTGACCCAAGTTAAAGATAGGGAAGGAAAATGAAATTGCCACATTTCAGAACAACCATGTATTGTCACATTTCAGGACTTTTAGCCAGATTTAACAGTGGAAAGTATTATTTTCGAAAGTCCGGCCTAGTTTTGATGTCTATTTGCTTTTGCTTAAAGGAAAGTTGAGCTTACCCATGTATTTCGTGTAAGTCAAAGTTCTCTCTGCTTCCACTAATTTTATTAAGGCGATTAACAGCATAGTAAGAATTACCACAGTGAGATCAGATGCAGGTCTCCGGGCCTTTAAGGCCATTAAAAGCCATCAAAGTAGAAGCTGCTACTCATGAGAATTCAAAGTATATGTTCTAAGGACAAATGCCACTCAAAAAAATCAGAGGATGCATTCCTCTCTTACAGAAGATAAGGTACCATGTTCAACCATGAGCAGCATTTTCAGTCTCTACACACAGAATTTAAAAACCATCTAAAACTAATCAGGTTTCATTTAGCCAATAAGCTCAATGCTATAATAACCTGGTACCCACAGATCACAATTACTGCATTATAGTGTATAGCATGTTTGTCAACCCCTTTTCAGGCACTAATTTACCAAATGATGATTGCTGGTTTTAAGAACCACATTAGCTGGAACATAGAGCCCCTGATTTAACTTTTTGTCTTCAAAAGAACCAGAAGTTTAGTTTTTAGACTGAAATTAATCTTTCTCTGAAATATATTTTCTTTTTATGTAAGGAAAATGGTTTGTTCCACATACAAAACCAATTTTTAGTAGACCAGAGGATGCTTATACAAGTTCATGTATCTTTCTAAGTTGTCTTGCTACAACTTTGAGCAAGAATAAGAGAATTCCAGGCTTAGTTCATTTAAACCAGTTACAATCATTTAATTCCATTCACAATGTTGAGGATAACTTGTAACATTTGCTCATTTAGCATAATGGCTTCTGTTAATATTCTGAATTTGCCAAGGGAGAAAAACAGTCTCTGGAGGTTAACTTGTCTCAGCTGACATCTTCGCAAGGATTACATTTTCTAAGTGGGCAGCCCTCAATAAAAGTTAATCAGTTCCAAAGAGTACACACAAAAGACATTCAACTATGAATGCTCTTCAGGAAGGTTGGCATGGGTTGCTCAGGTTTTTATTGGGATTTAGGCTGTCACAGAGGAAACACGTTGTTGAGGTGCTTTACCCAGTAAAAATTCAAACTGTAGAACAGTCCAGGTTGGAAAGGACCTCAAAAGACCATCAGGTCCAATCCTTTGTAGGGAAAGGGAGCCTAGGTGAGATTATCCAGCACCATGTCCAATCACATCTGGGAAACCTCCAGCAATGGGGAAGTTCTTCCAGTGAATGACTGTTCTTACCGTAAAAAAAAAAACCACTTTTTTTTTAATCAAGATGAGGCCTCTTCTAGTGCAACTTGTATCTGTTACCCCATCTCCATGTGGCTCTTTGTGAAGAGAAAGCCTCTGTCCTCTTTGCAGCTGCCCTTGAAGTACTGGAATACTGTGATAAGCTCCACCCCAAGCCCTCTTTTCTCCAGGGAAGAAAAGACCTAACTTTCTCAGTGTTTCCTCACACAGTAGGTTCTCCAGCCCTTTGATCGTCAAAATTATGTTCTCTATAAAGAAATCAGGCCCACATTTTTGCACACGGGTATCCATTTTTAATTTCAGGGGAGGACAGAGACAATTCTCCCTGAGAAGGGCACCACTAAAACCGCATTACAACACTGAAAACTCAATTCTGTTCTTTCTTTGACTTTGCTCACTACTCAGCAAGATGTCTTCTTGTTAATTATCGACTTCATCACCAAGGGACAGCTTAATCACAAGACTGTCTGAAGTTCAGGCTATCACAGCAGTACTAGCAGAGAATTCTGCACTGCACATAATTGGCCAGGTAATTAGAATACAACATCCTTAACTGCTCAGTTACCAAATGTAAACGGCACAGTGCTCAGTGCTTGACTGGTGGAGGGCCTGGGGGAAACAGTGCCGCTGCCAAGTGCCTACTTTTACTTCTTCATACTGTAGGTAAGTAAACAGCGCTAGTGGCTTACTGCCATCCTGTTCTCCTGTGGGGTGGTGGAAGTCCTGTCATTCTGGGATGTAAAAGCAATTCAGCAAACTGGCTGTATTTCAGGGCATCCAAATCCACGTGAGAATAAAATAATAAAGGCAGGATTTCTGATAAGCAGAGAAAACCCAGCATGCTGACAACGGTGACAATGTACTTGGCTCCGACGTCTACAAAACAGCATCCCCGCCAAAATTGAGAGCGCTACCGTGTGGCACAGGGTGCAGCTGCAGGCTGGGTATTTATTACAGCACCTGCATGGTCTGAGATAGGGAAGTTTTCAGCTCACCATGTTTCTGTATGCATGTTGCTGGGAAGAGCAACCCTTACTTTTCTGTAATTCAACATCTGCCTGCCTTTCTTCAAAGATATTTAAAATATCCATATCTACTCCTCATGTCAGTAGACTAAAAAGGGCCATTTTGTAATCTCATCTGGCATGGCACGGTCTCTGCTCCCTAAGCACCATTCTGAGAGCCCTTTTCTAGACCTATTCCCATTTTAGATTTCCTTTCTCAAACACAGCTGGCCAGACTGGTGGGCATGCAATCTGCATTTGGCACTATTACTGTTTTATATGCAATGGCAACAGCATAGTCTCCTCTCCCCCAGAAGACCTTTACCTGTCTGCTGTGGCAACTAAAAGAAACTTTCAAGCTGCTCTTACCCCTTCCAGCCAATAAATCCTCTGCTTGGAACACAAATTCTTACTATGCTCCATGTACAAGACTTTTTATTTTTTGCTACATTTTTTGCCTTTGGGACTCCATTCCATTCTCCATCGAAAGAGAACTTACTTTCTATTTCAGGTTCAAGTCCACCATCATTAGTATAATCAGAAGCTTTATACCATAGCATAAGAACAAATATCCTGCTGGTATTAAGTAAATAATCTCCTTAAATTAATGTTCTTCATAAGCAGCTATATTAATGCGGGATCTGCCTCTTGATAAATCGAAAAAATGTGGAATTTCAATATGGTTATATTAACTTCAGGTAGTTTAGGATGTTACCCAAAAGCTAATTCGACTTAGCACAGGATGGCCCAAACTTGTCCAAATACCTGGATAAAACCAGCCAAACTGCACACATTGCATATTCGACATGAACAGGACTTCCAGGATATCAGAACTCTTAAACCAGCCTTTTTTTTACATTTAGCCACATAATCATGTTCCAGAGCACTGGATAAATAATGTTTACTGAACAGGGATGGACATCCCATAAACCATATTCATTTAACAATAACATTTTCTTGCTAAAAATCTAACCTTTTTTGTTATCTGGATTAATGCAACAAAACCAGTTAACAAGGAGAATACTTTGTATCAACCTTACTTTATAACACTTCACAAACTGTATTTGCTTACAACAGTGGCCTAGACATTAAATAATCAATCTAAAGGTCACATAGGTCAAAACTAGAAACTTAATGCAAGCTTTACAAGTTCCACATCTTCTTCATATCATTATTTAACTAACTGCAGCTCAAGAATGTCCTCATTAACCTGCAGGAGCATGAAAACCCACAAGCGTATTTGAGGATTCTGAAGACTCTAGCTACACTCTTTATACTTAATGGGGAAAAAGAAAATAAGAGAATTTGGGACTTTAGGTAAAACAAACTGTTCTCACTGGAATCTAACAGACTCTGGAAAGCCCAGGTGATAATCTCAGCCTCACAAAGCTCTCAATATTCCTTCTATTTCTTTTTCTAATTTCAGAAACAAAATACATGCTGCTCCCAGTTTGAGTACTTGTCCAGCCTTCCCATAAGGACAAACAACTAAGATGCTCTTCCTATATTTGCAGTACTTGGCCTGCCTAAAGACCCCTATGATGTGAAAAGTCGTACCTGTTTCACTGGGTACTTTGTACTTTGCAAAGTTACAGTCTCTTTCCTTTGCAAACCATAGCTGAGCAATCATACCAGCAGTATAAACTAACATCATGGATCATTAATCTCCAGCCTTCACAGATTCTGGCATGGGTGTATTAAACTCCATGTTTCCTTGTAATATGATTTCAATTCAGTCATTCACCATACTTACTTTGAATTAATATTCACAACTACCCAGGACAAATGCTACTAAACCCATGGCTTGTATCACCATATTGAGTCAAGAGAACAGGAAATCAGTAAAAGTTTAACTTAGAAGGAGCTGGATTTAACTCTTCTGAAATCACTGCACCAAGACCACTCTTAATGCATTTAGCAGCAATTAATTCTCAAAGCCAAAACAGCTGCACATTGCTGACGCTCTCCAGATGCAAGGTAAGGAATTAAATCATGGGATAATTCAATTGGAAAATTGCTTGTAATTATGGAGAATGCAGCGTCTGCTTGACTCCTTGTGGTGATTGGTAACTGCTTTAAGAATAGTGAGGTAGTCTGCACAATGCATAGTGAATACAGATAAGTAGCTGTGCTAGGAGAAATCTCATTTAGCTTCACAAAGATATGGGTTTAACATTGTTAAAACTGTATTTGCTGACATTAATGATAATCCATTTTCACTGCCCCATTACTGCCAATGACCCACTATCACACACAGAACAGTAATATCAACTTATAGCACCTTTCCTCTGAAGGAACTCTTAAGTACTCTGCAAACATACAAAATGTGGTCCTGCTTTAAAGAGTGATCCAAAAAGGGTTTGTTCTTTCTCACCTCACTTAATACACAGGCAAGCAAAGAGCCTTGTTCTAACACATCATTTAAATCTCTGATGCCACAAGGCTGCTAACTTAGAGCAAACGAAGAAGGGTGCTCCTTCACCTCAGATATTAAAAGTAATGTTCTCAGTTATGTTTCAACCACAAAGAGCACCCTTTGCCCCAAAAGACTGCACAAACATCTAGTCAGAGACCCTCTAGAACTGTTGACAACAGGGAGAATTACAGGAAAAACTCATCTTTTGGACTGACAGTAACCGATGCAAAAACAAAAGCCATTCTGTCATCTGTAAACTGAGCACATGTATCCTTAAAATAACAGGATGAAGCAGTTTTCTGTTCTCTCTTTGTAAAATAGACTTACTAGGACCAATCCTTATTAGCATTACAACATTTGACAGAGTCTGCTGAGTATTTTAAGGAGTCTTGCTCACTGCCAAAATGAGGGACAAAATGGCTGCTATATGGGATCATATACTTACGGAGTCAGTGAGGGAAAGGGGAAAACACCTAGAAATATTCATTTCGTTTCCTGGTGTAGCTACTAAAATATAGAGCTCAGTTTATACAAAGCCAGTTCCAGTAGCAGTGGTTTCTATGGCACATTATATTCCTGTGTTTTAGCTACTGAAATGTTCTCTACTTTACAAAGCATTAACAGAAAAACCTTTAGGGAACAAAAGATCAATTATTTACAAGTGGCTTCAAAATCAATCATCCAATCTTGAAGCTGAAGTTGTTATATTTAGCACTATTAACTACACGATAATTAAAATTGATTACAAAGTCACAACCCCTCATTAAGTTGATGTCAATTGGGGGGGGGGAATTCCTCAAAAGCAATTTTTTCTTTTTTTTTTAAAAGTGATTGTAAAAAGATTGCCATCAATTAAAGAGACATCTGGGAATATGGAGAAGGTGATAAACGATCTGCTCTTCTCAGTGCTAGTACTTTGTAGACCAAAGGTGTTCCAGGGGAGAAATCCTTATGGTTGTTATCTCCACCTGAAAAGGAGTGGAAACACCATTGTGCTGGGGCCAGTGACAAGTCATTCTCCTTCTGTATGTTCTGATGTGACCAAAGTGCAGGTCTCAGTAGCAGAGATGACCTGCTATCAAACACTTAACACGTTCTGTGATCCCAGTACTGCAAAGAGGCAAGCCTTGTATTTCAATCTAACAAAGCCCTTAAACATATGCTGTAAGAATTTGAGTAGAAATAATTGTAAGAAGTACAGAGAACTTCGTATATTTTACTGTCACACAGCAGATACTGGTCCTTAGCAGGACTGAGCCCTACAGTAGTAAACAAATATGCTGATGTTTCTGCACAACTCACCTGCTGTTCCCGCAGTTTTCCCCTCCCTGAGCTACATGCTATTAGTTCAGGTTTTTATTCTGAAGAGAAATAAAATGCTGAGTACCACCACCATCCTTAGTGTAATTTTTCAGATTGCAAAAGAGCTCCCAAAATAATGTTTTTTCCCTTTTCAGCTTGTTTCACAAGCTTGGGGTACAGGCTGGCAAGCTGCTGCTGGTCTAAATCACTGGTCTAACACCAAATCTGTCAGGCATCAAAGATGATTAACTGGCTCACACTCAGACATGCCCTGTGCAGAGACAAACCTCACTCTGGTCTTTTGGCTGTCCCCCACTCTGGGCAGGAAGTGCAGAGCATCCACATACATAGCAAGCACCGATTTCCCTCAAGTATATGGAAGTGAGGAAAAGAGGCATCACATTACTTCCTTACACTACCACCCCAGCTGAAATCTCCAAGGTAAGAAAGGCATTGCACCCATGGTAAAAAACAACAACAACAAAATAGAGCTGTCATACCAGCAGCAGTGACACAATGCACATCTTTATCACCTCTGACAGTGCTGGACTTCAAGAAACATCCCAGACTTCAGCCTAACATGTTCTTTTAGGCAGGTGACAAGAGACTGGAAGCCACTTCTGCAATTTCACAAACAGGCCCATTGCAAATACATCAGGGCTAGCAAAATGTCACTTCCTGTGGTCATCCAGCAAGCCCAAGATGCTTTCAGAGGAGAACAAGAGGACATTACCTGTTAAAAATCAGAGGAGGAGGAAGGAATAAGAAGGTGCTTTTCAGAAAACAAAGAAAGAAAAGAAAAAACCTAACACGGCTTTGATTATATTGCACAAGAGTAATCTGCAGTTCACCAAGCGTCTGCAGTCTGTATTATGAATAGCTATTTTAGCAACAAAGAATTGTTCAGCAACTCAGTTTCATTAAAAATAACAGTCTGGTTTGCTTCTAAGAGTAGCATACCAAGTAACAACCAAGTAACCAACCAAGAAACCAACAGGTCAGTTAATTTTTATGAGTCGTTTAGGTCATTCTTGCTTCAATGCCCATGAACAGGTTCACACTCAGGGCTGGTCTTTGGTGCCTCACCCTCCCCAGAGTTAATGGCTGTAACATTAAATAACACACAGCAATCAATGTGTAGTTCTAATGCAGTACACTTCACCTGCCCACCCACAAAGCACACTGAAATGTGTCATTTCATACAGATAAGCGTGTAGAGACCAGTTAAAGGCACTGTCTGTAATGTGCATATTTTACATAGAGTTAATTCCCAAGCCTTAATTCAGGGCTATCCCAGCCAAACTCCTCCACGCAAAAAAACCTCTTCCCTTGTGGTAAGCAGCTGCGTTACCTCAGGTGAGGTACCTCACCTGGTTGGAGCTCAGTTATTTCAATTGCATTTTGTCAGTCACACTGCAATGAAAACACAAGACAAAGATCACTCAAGCACTGCCCCTACTCCAGCAAGTTCCCCTCACCTTGTCTAGGCTGACCTTCGCACCAGTTCAGTGGAACAAATTGGAAGTGCTCAGCTTCACACCGCAGTCACCCATGATACAAATTCCCCAAACAGTTAAGCACACAAGCAAATGCACACCACCAATACTAGAGAAAGCATATTAGCTCTCCTATTACTTGGCAGTCATTTTCTTGTCACTACAAGGAAAACTTGAATGCTCATCCCCAAAGTTTCCTCTGCAGTGAAATATCCTTATCCCTGTCCCAACTCCTGGCAAATGTCACTGTACAGAGGTGTTAATGGAAGCCCACATTCAATTTCTAAATAGTCAACATTTTGACTTTTAAGTTGTTGAGTTTCCCTTGGTTTTAAAGCAATCAGGAATAATACTGCTGATCTCAAGCACCCAAATATTCTATTATTCACAGTCCATATTCAGTTCAGCTTTACGTATGATAAAAATCATGGACAATAAACACCCACCATCACCCAGTCACACCAACCCTGAAAAGGCCTGGAGTACCTTTCAGCCATCTCTTGCTTCAAAGCCATTACGATTATCACTGTTTCTTCCAAGAAGCTTACAGGAAACTGGGATTCAGATTTCCTGTTCTCTGATTGGGTGATCAACTCCTTCAGAAAAGCTGTAACTTTTTCCACCCCTCTATTCACCTCTCTGCATGGATGGGTAAGACAACCAGCTACATATCCTACACTATTATTCATACACAAGAAAATGTCCTTTAAGAAACTTGCTATTAAAAATGTTTATTATTGCTGTTCATTCAGCTGTTGCCACTACAAGGAAATGGCTTGGCATCTTTACAAAGTAGTTTTATAATCTACTCTTAACAGGTACTCCTCTGGCTTGGTTAGTCATTGGAAAAGTCATTTTGGGTGGAAGCCACTGCTTCTGAACTAAAACACATAATATGTTACAATATCTTATTCTAGGACTCTTGCTTTTAACCCCTAATTGATGATAAAACAAAGATTAATTATCTAAACTGTTAATTCCTCAGGAATCTTGATTTGACAGTGACATAACACTAAATATATTGCCCTGCACCGGCTGGATAAATAAACCAACTACAGAATTAAAATGGTTTTACACTACTCTGTAATTAGGCAGTGAGGCTACCACAGTGATCTTTCCTTTACCCCAATCTAAGGAAGTTCAGTATGTAAAATTCAAAGATCTGTATGTCATAGTAAAGCTTCACCTCCTGTGAAGTGACCTTGCTGACACACAGGATCAACTAAGGCAGGCAGAGCCTGCCTGATCCACAGCTGCCAGCCTGAGAAACCCGTGATTTTTTTTAGGGCAGTCAAACATAATCCATCCTCTGCCTCCTCCCCAAATACTTCCACACATTCAGGAAAAACACAGAGTGGAATTAAACCTTTCTGATAATGTTGTTTTAATGGGGCCTTTTTATTTCTTCAATGCTCTGAATAAACACCTTGAAACCAGAACATAATTGAAACTTCAGCAGCTCAAAATCAATACCAGAATTCTGCAGCTTGTGCTTTTCTTTGACAAATAGAATTACTGCGCCAGGTGAAAGAGAGTCATGTTTTAACCTTTATTATGCTGTTTATGTGCATTGCAAGGCTCCAAATGACTGCCTGACCTTTCCACTTCCCCACTGGAAGCACAGGAAAGCAGCAAGATGGCCCACACAAAAAGCAACAAACAAAGCAAGTTATTGCAGTTCTGTCCTACGCAAGATTTATTCTTTGAACTCAGGCAAGGCAAGCAACAAACCTTCTGGTTCTGATGTCTGAACACCTCTTCAAATCTGGAGACATCTACTCATCATCTTGTTTACTTGTGTTTACACCAGGTCGTTTAGAAAGCCTGACACAGAAGTGAGAAGATCTGCTCACAGCCATAGAATATGAAGAGAAAACGCAGAACAATGGCCAAAATCTCTATTACATTTCTTGAATGCTTAAGGAAATGCCATTCAGAATTAAGTAGTGCTTGCTTCTCTCATCTCTGTTGTGACACTGGAGCATTCAGCTAACAAAGCTGACTTTCATCCAGGTTTACAAGGGATATGAACCATAAATATCAAGTCAAAATTACTTTAATATAGTCTTTTTTAATTTTAACAAAGACAGTCACTTGTATTTACCTTCTTTTAAATTCTGGTTATTCAGGGAAGGTAAAATGCAAGGGTCAAGCATTTCTACATTGTTTGCTTTTCATAGACAAGAAAGACTCTGCACTGGGATTAAATGGAGTTAAGGGAACTTAGAGAAAGTACCTTCTTTGAAAAGGCAAGGATCCATAATGTAATTCACTGCACAGAATGGCAGCATGGCTCAAAATAGGAAGGGGGACCAGGACTGGAGATCCCAAATCAACAACTCGATACTGTAGTATGTATCCCAGCAGACTTCAAACACAACACGGAGAGCTATATTCTATTGCTCCCCTCAGTGCACAGTCTCTGACAACAAGCAGAGACACACAAGTCTGTAGAGTGAGAAAATACTCTGAGAAGTCTGACTGTGTTTGCTTCCCTCTCCTGCTCTCCCAACATGGCCATTCTCATGTTCCCACATTATACCATCTGTTTAATTACTGTGCTCTCAAAACAAGCAAACAAAGAAAACAGATGAAACTTCAGGGACAGCTTCTCACTCATAATTGAACAGATGATTATTCATTGGAATCCAGGCAAGTTGCTTGGGGCCAGCTAAACAGACATTGTACAGTATTAACAAAAATTTAGTTTTAGAAATACAAACCAGAATTCTCCTTCAGCATCTTTAACACTGCAACCTACTCTAGTTACTTTGAGTAGGATATAATAAGCATACTCATTTTAAGCTGCTCTAAGAGAAAACAGCAATGCTCATAACTCTGCCTCCCCTTGAAGGTCAGCTCTAGCATTAACAATTCCTGTAAGATTTAACCTCTGAAGGCATGTCTAGGAGGATACTTGGGTTTAGCTCAGCCTGCCCTAAGATCCTGACTGAATCATGGTATTTTCTCCAACATAGTTCCAAACTAAGAGTTTTTTACTTCTGTTTAATTAGTTGGATTTGGTTCTTGGCAAGAGTCACGGCAGTAAAATGTCTCAGCTTTCAGAGTTCTGTGACTCTCTTTAATGTATTCATCCAAGCATAGGTAAGATAGCTACTCCAACACAGACACATCATCACTGATGTGAAGAATAACAGTGAAAATATTTCAGTTCTTGTCAATTTACTGATGCTTTTAATATAATCTCACAGAGTAGATCTGTACAAAATCCACATGATGATGCTTATTCATTACAAGTGGACAAAACCAACTTCATCACAGAATTACTGGAGAGCAACAGGCATCTAACTATTAGAACTAGTTAGGTTGTAAAAGATACAAATTTGGCACAGCTAAGAACACAACTCACCTTGGGTTACTGATTTAACCACGCTGTGCTTTAATTTCTCTTTGATGGCATGGAGAAACGTTTCTCCCAATTCTTTAAACCTGTATGAAGTGCCCTATTTAGTACTCAGAGCCTCAGAGGTAGAGCACTAAAGCAGCATAGGTTATTGTAGTAACTGACAATGGATATAATTAGGCTGTGATTGGTAAGGAGGGGCAATATGCAGCAAAGTGGCTGAAAGGCTTACAGGGTCTTGCCTATAGTCCTTTATCATACATTATGTTTTTATGTACAGAGCTGTATATGTGAGCTGTCCCTAGTATGGTTAAAAAATAAGTATACAAAAAAATAGAGGGAGTTTTCTTTCTAGCCTGCCTGCTATCAAATAACAATTTCTTAATTCACTGCATATTCTTTCCAGAAGAATGACTATCTTTTAGACTTGAAAAGTTCGATTAAAAAAACAAAACAACAAACGTACTCATGGATGTACATTAGCATTTGGGGATAAAGAACAATGCCTTTACATGACGGGGGGGGGGGGGGTAATAATTACAGATGTGTGTTAATCCAGTAGACTTTCCCTTTAAAAAAGGTCAAACACAGCCAAGAGCAGGATACACTTCCCTCCAGCTGTCCTTTTAATGTGCCTCTCATCTTGCCAAGGAGAAAGAATCATTAAGGCTGAGAAAGAGACCATTTAACAACCCATTTCTTCTTCATTGTCTGTACTTTTTTTGGACATACTTGTTAAAGTACATTAGTCACAGGTATGCAGCAAGACATCAGAGCATGCTATCATCTGATGCACACTGTAATTAATTTCTCTTTTTCAGTTTGTCGAGCAGAATGCTTCATGTTGAGCTGCACACAAGTCTTCACTGAATTAAGGAATGAACAAACAGGATTTCTACAATCAACAAACCCACGTGCTTACCCACAGTCCCTATAAATACAGAGCTACTCTATAAACAAACACTCTGTCCTACAGCGAGACAATAATTTGCCTCTTTAGAGCAGACTCATTAAAGGGAAATCATTTTGTAATAACAAAGCACAAGTGTAGTACTAATGAGAAGAGCAAGCTGCAAAATGCTAAGAACACCTGGGCCATTCCTTGCACTGACAGAACATGAGCTGGAATCTGATCATCAGAAAAAGGCTGCATTTCCTCCCCCTCCTTCTTCACAGCCCAACAGGCTCTGGAAGCCAGTTTGGTTTGTATTTGCTGTATTAATGCTGCATAAGTTCCTATGGAGTTGTGCTGTAATACTTGATATTTATATTTGCCAAGTGTAACCCAGGACACCAAGCTGAGTATCAAAATTTCAATCTCAACTAGAAGAGCCAGAACTATTCACTGTAAATAGATATTTTTTATTTTAAAACCCTCCCTGTTTACAAAGAACTTGAGAGTCATCCCTAAAAATTCATAAATCTCATTTGCAGTAACAGAGATGAGTAATTTTCAGTCCATGTGTTGCTCCAGATCTCACTTAATTCTTCTACTGTTTCACTTGTAGTTTATAGCTGATCCTTCAACTCACAGCAATTATTCCTACCAACTCAATGGCTAAATCTTAAAAAGGAAAATAACCAAGAGAAAACTGAACCCTCCTTTGACTAAAGGAAAGTGCAAAAGTTTACAAATCTTCATAGAATACCTGTAGCTTATCCAAACGCTTATAAATACTAAATCTAGGGTGGCATCGTACCACATCAGTATCTTTCTGAGGACTATACAGCCATCTGGACTGAATCTATGCAGATGAGGATGATCCACATTCTTCTCCAGCATTAAAAAGAAGGGGGCAATAAACATTCAGGTTTGCAAGAGGTTCAAAACTACCTTCCCCCTAAAACAGAAAATATCCCAAGACGACGATTTTTCTGGGGCTTTTCAGACTCACCCTGTCAAATCCTCCAAACTTCACATAACGATTACTATAGAAAAGCATACATCCGCTGTTTGCTTGTTTAACAGACACATAAGATAGAGCACTTCTGTGTGATAAAGGCACATCCTCAAACCAGTCTTAAGGATTAATGCAAAGGGAAAACTTTTGTCTGTCCAGCATGAGTTCTTAATCTTTTACCCTGGTAAAGAGCTATCTTTTTCAGAGAGAATCTTTTTCCCCAATTTTTAGTGGAATTCTAAGTGTTACAAGTCTTTTTTCTGCTTAAAGAGTCCTACATGAAAAATAACTTCTCAACTACTTACTTCTTGCAAGCCCACATTGATTTATTCTCTACTGTTTTGTTAACAAAGTGATAATCTGAAAAAAATATTATTTATTATCTTGTATTATCTACCTCATTCTTCTTTGTCTGAGGAATCATAAATTAAAGTCAACAGCCATTTTATAGTCCTGCAGTTCATTATCTCCCATTTGCTAATACGCTCAGTGCCTCAGCCTTGCTCCTTCTCTTTAGTAATAATTACAAAAATCAAAACCACATTAACATAACATGGAGATACTTCTTGGGTTAGAACTTACGTAAGAGCTTTTCAACTACTCAGTGCTGGTCAGGACATTGTCCTCATTCATCCCTCACTTCCCCTGCCATCCTTCATGAAACTTTAATCTACATTTTCCATTAAGGGGTTGCCTCAATTGGTGTTCACACTTCCAGGGTGGCTTATTACTTTTTCAATTCTGATTTGAAATGGTGGTCACACCTCCCCATCTTATCTCTTCAACTGAAATTTTTATCAAGCAGCTGCATATTTTCACGATCCTGAAATCTTCAGATCACAGAAGCAGAAATTCACTTTACCTAGAATCGTATCACCACAGTCAGGAGTGGTCAAGCCTCTAATCCTTTACGTTTAAAACTTCATTTATGGTTGGAAAGGGATTAATTTGACATTTGATCGAGCACACATCTGGATCCACTTTTTGTGTACTTGTTTTGGGTCCAGTTGCTGCTGGTCTTTCCTCCTTAAATATGCAAAATTAACTGTGTAACAGTGATTCCTCTCTTCCTCTTCCTTGTAAAATGACTCTGAAGGAAGCCACAACTGTGCTCTCAGATCTGGGACCACAATTACCCCTCTCCACAAGTCCATGGGCAGCACAGCAACAGTGTTGCTGACAGGAAGCTGGGACTGCCTCTCAGGAGGAAGGAAAATCTAAGCATTGCAGTGAGGTAGCAGCAGAGATGAATTCTGGAAAGGCACGCTTTCTGAAGGCTGTTAAACCACTCTGCTACTCAGAGCTGAATTATCCTAGAGGCCCTCATAGTACAGAAACCTCTGTGTTTGAATCAAGACTTGAGAGGCACAGAATTTATGGCTGGTTTGACCCGTTTCAGGTTTATCAGAGAAGCAAATGACTCTTTCAATTCAGCATGACAAACACATACATCCACACAGCTGTGAAGTGGAACTTCCTTGTTCCACAAACTCTGTCATTCTAACCACAAACTGGGTTGTCTAACCTGCCTCCTTTGGCAATACTGCCACAGTTGCAAGATCTGCAATTCCTCATATTTCATTACAATAGACTGCAGTACATTTGCTGGTATAATAGATTATGAAGGATCATAAATAATTAAGAATTAATCATACTTGTCAAAATAAATAAAAGCAGTCAATGATGCAGAATGCTTGAATTTTTTATAGCATCTTTTTGATTATTCATGAATTAAATGAAGTCTGGTAATTCACAATGGATTGCCTACTCATTACAGCACATACAGGCCTGATTCAGATCCTAACACAGGAGACTTTCCTTTCAATCTTCAGCATATCAGTGGAATTTTAACATTAAATTCCTGATCCTGCAGAAAGTTATGCAAGTTTTACACACTGTGCAGGGCCAAGCTGGCAGATACACTAGTGATTCTCACTGGTCCACTTACGGGGGTGGGGGGGGGAACAGGCTTCCCAAGGAAGTAGTGTAATCACTGTCCTTAGAAGTGTTTACAAACCATATAGATGAGGCCCTACATCAGCAGGTGTAATGACATGGTTTAGTGGTGGTGTTGGCAGTGCTAGGGGAATGGTTGGACTTGATGATCTTAAAAGTCTTTTTTAGCCGAGTTGATTTTTGCATGGTTCAGTATCATTCACAAGGCTTTAACAGGATAGCAAATAGTATTAAGTGTTTAAATAGCACATCTTCTCTCTAAATTGCTGTGAAACCCATAGTGCATTTCTCTCCTTTTTCAAAGGGAGGAAAAAAGTCTGGGCTGGGATGTGAGGGACAGACACAGCACCACACCAACCCCACCAGCACAGATCAAAGATCCATTCACTTCAGCCATACTGGCTCTGAAAACAGACACTTACAGATACATAGAAAAGAATATATGAACAGGGAGAGCAAACAGTTGTACTTCCCCACTTCTGGCCATCAGGGATCTATTGCACAAGGACTTCCTGAGCCAGAAAAGGTAATTGAGAATTTAGTAGCTGCATTTTAATTCCCTGCACAAATCCTGTCAATTTGCACACCCACAGAAGCCTTCAGAATCAAAAAAAGTTCCAGTTTTACTGTTCGTTACATACTGAAGGATCTCCTTTTGTTTTGAACCTGACATCTACTAACTTCATGTGATACGATCCAATTCTGTATTAGTAGTATCAAATATTCCTTCTCTATCATCTTTTCAGCGTTTCATAAAGTCTTAGACATTTATAAAGCTTTATACATCATATATAAAGATTTTATAAAAGTCTGTGATTTTTATAAAACTCTGCCATGTGTTCCTTTAGATGTCTCTTGCAGGCAGGGCAGCCTTAGTTAAGTCATTAGATGCTTTAAACCATTCTTGTTTTCCTCCTTTTAATAAGTTCCCCAGCTGTACTAAATGATTTTTGATGCACAGGAACCAGAACAGAATGATATATTGTAGGTACAGCTGCCCCACACCTTTATTCTACAGCATTTCCCATTTTCTACTGCCTTCCCAGTTAAGTTCCAACAACACATTTACTTTGTGACTGCTACCGAGTTGATGTTTTCACAGCTCTATTCTTACCCTAAAATCAGCTTAAGTAATTACAACCAGCTCAGAATCTGTCCTTACATATGCCAAACTCTGATTGTTTCTCCCAATGTCTCAATTCAGCTTACCTACACTAAATTTCACCGGCTGCTATTATCCAGTTAAAGCATCATTTTTTCAATTCCTTGCCAACCAGACCTCCAATCTTTTACCCTGAATAATTTAATATCAAACTGGCACTTCACCATCTAAACCTATTCAGAAGATCAATGATTTGTGTGACACCGTATGCTGAACATGCCAAGTGAGTGAAGCACTCAGATGTGACTGTAACCAATGCTGAGACACCTAAAACTAGTTCTTCCTCCAGGTAGCTTGATCGATACTGATTTGTTCTGATTCCTTGAAGCCGAGCTCTATCATGTTGTGGGGACAGGGGCAAAAATACAGAAGTTTCTCCAATACATCTCAATACATCATCCAATACATCCCAGTGATTCCCTACTAAAGCTTTTACAGAAAAGTATATGAAGCACAATGTATCATACCCAAGGCATTTGTCTCTATCAACGTCTTGACATGACTTGATAGCCAAATGACAAGGATGAGCTTAAACCATCCCAAAATCAAGTTATGCTATCTGTTTATCTCTGTGCATTACTGTCTGCAAGAGAGATGAAATGAGATTGAGATAATTGGAAGTACAATTTGCAGGAAACAGTGGGGGTTGGATCTACTGTGCTTAATTATTTCAGATTGAAACAGACCACACAACTATCTGTGCCAAGCAGCTGTAATTAAAGTGATTTAAAATAGAGAGATGCTAGCTCCAAGTGTTGATTTTTCAAATGAGTCTTTATACACACACGAGTTACAGTCATCTATGAGCTGCAGACCTACAGCTCTACTGAGGGGCTTAAGGGAAAATTACCAATGACAATGTCAAGCACGCCTGATACTTTAAACAAACAAACAAGCAAGCAAATGAAACCCCCCCCCGGGCAACCCACAAATCTAAATCCACTCGGTGTGACTCCAGGTACTTGTCCCTAGGAACAGGAGAAAACAGCAGAACAGAAGCTTCAGCCTAAACTGCCCATC